ATTAGGGAGATGTTTTATCCATATAACGTGTTATTATTCTACCTAACAATGTATTTAATGAAATGAATGCAAAACGAACTCAACGGCTAAAAGGTTTCATTGAAAAAACTACCCCTAGTCTTGACTAATAAAACAACTGCAACCCGACACAGATTAAACGCAACTTACAAACACAATCATAATCTGGTTAGTCTGTATCACTCAACGAGGCCGCTTACTCTGCCCACAGTATGACAGTATTGGGCAGTTCAGTAATTAGGAGCCAAAACCAGGCAGGTACGCTGGTCACACTTGACTGGTCTGACTGATGATTAGGTCGTCTGACAATTGGGAGTGAACCATAACAAGAAGTATCTGCGAAACTATTTGCTCCTTTTATGGGACCGATTAGTTTTATGACCATGGGCCTCGGCACAAGCGTGGTGTTGGAAGACAAGTTATACATGTACATCCGATATGGTGACTGTTTTTCGCTATTCATATTCTAAATACATTCATAATAGCACAACATTTTAGTACTCCTTGAAACTTTACAATCACTTCAATATGTACAATAGATTGAACGAGAACACTTGATATATTGCAGATTATTGAATCATTGTCTCTATTATCAGCCGCTACGTTTGTATCGTTTGCATTGTACAAAGAAATATTTTATCTGTCCTTTTGCAGATTTAGCCTCAGAATGTGCTCATTCGAATTAGGAACGAAAATAATTGCTTATCATGAGTATATATGATACAGTTAAAAGTGACTTGTACACTGTAGGCGTATTAACTTTAAAGTCGCATACGACCTTCGCGAGCGAGTTGATTGATCCAGGTTAATTGGAACGAAGTCTAGAAAGGGTTATAAAGTTTTGTATTTGGTAATGTGTAGGTTTATTAAATATAATTGTTTAAATTCCTTTTATTTCAATATGTAAAAACATAACTATGCGCTTAAAAACAGAGCTGACTTGATGGGAGATAGCCACCTCAGATTGTCTGTTGGACACGGTTTAACCTTACTGTGTCCTCACCCTGGTTGTTGTTGTCGTTGTTATAAGGGATTAAGAGCTACAGCTCATTGCATTTTTGGTTACAGTCTGTATCACTAAAGTGGACATGTGCAGGTGAACTCTGTTCAATTAGTATATGAAATGCCCCAAAATGTGAACTCCAGACAATAATAACCTGAGGGTAAATCCACGTGCGTCTGCCTTTCCCCTCGTTCACCTTCGAAATCCTTGATTATTATATCATGCCAGAGTTCTGAAATTCAGTGACAATGTTGCTGAACAGTAGAATCTGATGGACGTTTTGTGCAGAACCTGTTTGACACTATGGGTTCCAGGACCACTAACACTCTGAGCTGAAAAAGTTTGGTCCTAACCGCACCAAACATCTACAAGTTTGTAAGCTTGTAGACATCATTAAGAAGTAATGAACAGTCCCATGCTGAGACCTTTCTCAAAATTCAGACCGGTGGCAGGCTGCCAACAAAGAGAAGAAAATATCGCAACCCCGACACGAGTGTGCTCAGTCAAACAATGAACTTACGACCGGCAGAAAACAACTCCAGTTGAGTATGCCGATGCTGTATCTCAGCCGTGTTGGCCTGAAAATTTAAACATGCTAATTAAATCCAAAATCGTATAATTATTTTTAATAGAAACCGTATCTTAATTTGTTCTTGCACTGCATCATATCGTGTATTTCATCTGTATATGTGTAATGTGTATATATATAAATGACTACACTTATACCGCATATTCTGCAACAGACTTAATTAATTAATCACCTTATTATTGTCTCTCCATTTACCATGGCTGACTGCACTAATACCCTCTTAACAGTGGACACCGATATCAGTATACATGTAGGCTTTTTGTTCAAAAAGGAATATGCAGGAAATTATATGTAACAATTAACTGTGTACTAATTACATGTTTGAATGTTATCAGTTTTACGTTCTGAGATACAGTGATGTAAGCATCTTCTAAAATCTTCTAAAAATATAATAAAATAAAAAACTCTCTGCCGTAATTTTTTGTGGAAATCATTCGATCAAGTAAAAATGACTGCGTGACAAGACGAATCAACTATTTATACCCGATAAAAGAAACTGCCGTATTTTAGGAACAGTGCTATAACAAGACATTTGAAATTTCTAACAAGCAGATACATTAGAGACAGTGACTAGACTACAGGTACGTAATCCGTATCAATCAAAGGTGTAAACAAACTGAAAATCATATCTGTCGGAGACCTACCAAATTACCAAGTTTTATCATTACTATATTTATTACAATGCAAATACTTTAGTGATACATTTTTTAGAGGAGAGGGCATACACACAAGTATATTGCTTCCGTGTGTGAATGCAGGTTGTACTTGGTATCTCAGTTCTCAGTTTCATACCGGTTGTATAACTGAATTTGTATATGGAACCATGCGTACATCATGACAATTACTTCTATTCGACAGTTTACAACACACATAACACGGTCAAACAATTTTAGGCACCGCTTTTGCGAGTTATTTGGTACAATAATGTTTTATTAAAATCTATTTCAATTTGTTTTCACCATTTTCCCTATTGACAGTCGTTGTTACGTGCGTCACTAGGTAATTAGTACGGATTGACCTTGTTTCTTGTTTCTATACTTTGAGGATTTCTGTGGCAAGTGGCGGACGTAATTCAAACTCCTTCCGCACTGACACCGCATCAAATATATTTGTGTACCGATTACATAACTCTAATGGACAAGGTGGGGTGGTAGTTCACCGGACGACACTTTGTATATTGGGCGGCTCCTTTGATATCTCCTCCAAACATACGTTCATTGAATGACCCCATTAAACGATGATACCGATCTCGATGAATATATCAAGGCACTAATTCATCTTTCATAAACATTTTTTTGTCTTTGTGCTTAGTATATCCACATATCAACGAACATTTGTAAAACATGTATCCTAAAAAAACAAAACATTTTCAGGCTAGGTATTTGCCCACAGCAACACCTGCATAACTGTTTATTCACGCGTGGTGTGGTAGATCGTAATTGACCGAGAGCAGGTATTGTAGAATCACCTGTAAATAAGGCCGACACTGTAATTAGATACAACGTACTAATGAGAATTATCATAAGAAGGCTGTTGTTTTTTCTGAACTGTTACCATTTTCATACCAAAAGTGACAATGCAGTTAAAAGTTGCTTTAGTGTCACAATATTCACTCACGTTTTCCTCAATCGCATTGAAACATAATTCCCACTGGTCAGTTCGAAACCGCATGTAATTAAATAATTATTTCGAGATTTCGTTAGAATGTAAGATATTCAGCCAAACGTTATGCAATAAAAGACGAATAGTTTTTTTCATTAAAATACGCGCATGCGTACCTGTATACTATACCTAGTGTCACGTAATTGCCCAGTGTGATGTATCAACGGGACATAAAATGGGAAATGAAATAGAAACTAACTAAAATTTAATGTTGTGGAAAATAACTCCAATGAATTGGAGTACACGCACATGAATTCGTATGATAAACTGTCAAAACGTTTTGAGAAGTAAGGCCGGGTTCATTAAAGATCGCTACAATATGTAAAACAGGTGAAATTTGTAGAACTAAAGGAAACATCCAACCCAATGCCCTTTTTAAATAGTAATGTAATGATATAATATAAAGTATATTTCACATGATACAATATACTTTGCAAACAGTTAGTTAATGCTTGAAAGGGACTGACGAAAACATGGGCGAAATATTTTAATAACGCCGTAAAATAGTTGAATTAAGTTAAAATGAGTTTAATTTTGTGTCATGATACTTCAATGAATACATTTAAGGTATTTGCGAAACAAAATCATGAGTTTTAAGTAAAGGAACATATACTCGCCCATGGGCCAAACCTTTTTCTCGCCCATGGGCGAAATATTTCAATATCGCTATAAAATCGTTGAATTAAGTTAAAATGAGTTTAATTTTGTGTCATGATACTTCAATGAATACATTTAAGGTATTTGCGAAACAAAATCATGAGTTTTAAGTAAAGGAACATATACTCGCCCATGGGCAAAACCTTTTTCTCGCCCATGGGCGAAATATTTCAATATCGCTATAAAATCGTTGAATTAAGTTAAAATGAGTTTAATTTTGTGTCATGATACTTCAATGAATACATTTAAGGTATTTGCGAAACAAAATCATGAGTTTTAAGTAAAGGAACATATTCTCGCCCATGGGCCTACCCATGGGCCAAACCTTTTTCTCGCCCATCTTTCTTACAATGAAACCCTTGAAGATCCGGGGAAGAATTGGTCTTCAGCAACTCATGCTTGCCATAACCGGCGACTGTGGTTGTCGTAAAAGGTGACTAACGGGATCGGGTAGTCAGTCTCGCTGACTTGGTAAATGCATGTCATCGTATCACAGTTGTGTGGATCGATGCTCATGATGTCAATCAGTGGAATTCTGGTCCAGGCTCGATTATTTATTGACCGCCGACATAAAGCTGTAATAACGCCAAGTGCGGCGTTAAACAACCAACCAACAAACAAACAAATATTACAATAAATGCGACGTAAACACTAACACCGTTAACACACATCACTTGCTTGATAACGGTGTTAGTATCTACACAGATACGTCGCAGTCATAACTAAAGAAGTTTTATATCCATATCTCCCTTGTTTAACTAGAATATTGCTGACTGTGTGGTATAACCAAATCTACCAATCATGGATATCGTCCTTTAAAAGAGTCTATTTGCGTCATCTTGTTTGTTCTAGAGTCAGATTAACAACCTGTGCTGATCCCGAGAGGCAACTGACCGGATCGGGTGGTCTGGGTCGGCGACCTATTTATTACGTGTCATCGTACCCCAGCGTGCCGCGGGTACATCCCCCACACCCGACAACCAGGTGAGCACAGACAGCACTCATCATCCCGATGATTTCATATGAATTCATCGTCCAACCACGATTGATTTGATTGGACGGCCGCCCACCCTGTTTTGAGCCTCGTTCTGGCTAAATAGAACCAAGTTCAGAGTTCAGTTGGGAGCGTTATTTTGCACTCACGCGTTTCACTCTCCTAGGAGGCCCGAAGCTACAATTTCAACATGAAGGGGGATATGCTTGCAGCTGTGTTCATCACGGTTTTATGTGGTAAGCATTTCTTTACAATGAACATATTATTAATAAGTGTATCGGCAGCCATACTTCATGTTCCTTACTTCACGTTCCAAGGTCTTAAAGTCAATCATCGAAGCAGTGTGACTGAACCTGCACGCATCACTGATTAGGTAGGGCATCTACCATCTGGTCTCGCCAATAGAAGTACTTCTATAGGCCTGTATAATTTCAGTTATCAAGGCATAATGGTAGAATATACTTGTTAGATTATTTTAACAGAGATAAGATAATTCTAAAAGTGTACTGTTTTGTACTTACGAAATGTAGGCCTGACACGCTATTTGCACATGCATATATGGGTAAAATTGTACATGTTTGCATTAAAGCTCACATGAAACATATAGATAACGAGATCTAATATGCAATAACTGTCATGTTGTCACCATGCATCAAGTGTGGGTAGGGCACATGTGTAGAACTGCATTAAAACCATTGAGTATTTTTTTTAACATGACATGTCGAAGTATCGATATTCATCCAGGCTTTACCGGCGTGGCCAGGTGAGTCATGATTTTAAATATTTCAAGGACGTCCTAGAGCATGTGTTTTTAGATGGTGACCATGACAACATCTTCACGTCTCACTTGGATGCACGAAGTGAATACCGGTTAGCTTGACTTAAGACGACAGTATTCTGTCACAGGTGAATGGCTTTGCCGGGCTCGTTGTTTAGGTGCATAGCTTTTTCAAATCGTATTCACATCCTAATACGGTTTTACATTCGTCAGTAGTTTATTGCAACCGATAAAGGATGGCATTGCGAATCCTAACATATCAGCTGACAGCTTGCATTGTATGTTTCCAAGAGAGTTGAGAATGCTAATTAACGCACGATGACCCGTAATAATAGGTCATTGCATTAGCAATATCTGGGAAGAAATATCGCTTATAATATATAATTTATTTTGAATTCCGTCAAACTCATAATACATGGATTGAATATATTTGCACATTTAATCGTATTAGGGACCGACCATTTGATATTCTGGGGGTGTAGGTGTGGGTGTGGGTGGGGGATGTGATTCCCTATGGAGTCTAGATATTTTTGCAGCTACAGCTGGAAAACAGATATTTTTTTAAATCAAGTCTATTAGCCTAAACATTTAATCAGCTTTATTGGCCTCCAACACCGTGTGGGTAGAGGGTTACGGCGTTGTCAGCTGTGGGGGCTTCCCATAAGGTGTGGGGAGAGAGTTACAACCTTGTTCTCTGTGTGGGTCTCCTACAGGGAGTGGGCAGAGGCTTACAACGTTATGAAGTGTGGGCCTCCTACAAAATGTGGGTAGAGGGTTACAACGTTGTCAGCTGTGTGGGTTATCTACAAGGTGTGGGTAGAGGGTTAAAACGTTGTCAGCTGTGTGGGTTTCCTACAAGGTGTGGGTAGAGGGTTACACAACGTTGTCAGCTGTGTGGGCCTCCCATAAGGTGTGGGTAGAGGCTTACAACGTTATGAAGTGTGGGCCTTCTACAAAATGTGGGTAGAGGTTTACAACGTTGTCAGCTGTGTGGGTTTCCTACAAGGTGTGGGTAGAGGGTTACACAACGTTGTCAGCTGTGTGGGCCTCCCATAAGGTGTGGGTAGAGGCTTACAACGTTATGAAGTGTGGGCCTTCTACAAAATGTGGGTAGAGGTTTACAACGTTGTCAGCTGTGTGGGTTTCCTACAAGGTGTGGGTAGAGGGTTAAAACGTTGTCAGCTGTGTGGGTTTCCTACAAGGTGTGGGTAGAGGGTTACACAATGTTGTCAGCTCTGTGGGCCTCCCATAAGGTGTGGGTAGAGGGTTACAACGTTGTCAGCTGTGGGGGCCTCCAACAAGGTGTGGGTAGAGGGTTACGGAGTTGTTAGCTGTGTGGTCTCCTACAAGGTGTGGGTAGAGGGTTACAACCTTGTTATCTGTGTGGGTCTCCTACAAGGTGTGGGTAGAGGGTTACAACGTTATGAAGTGTGGGCCTCCTACAAGGTGTGGATAGAGGGATACAACGTTGTTATCTGTGTGGGTCTCCTACAAGGTGTGGGTAGAGGGTTACAACCTTGTTATCTGTGTGGGTCTCCTACAAGGTGTGGGTAGAGGGTTACAACGTTATGAAGTGTGGGCCTCCTACAATGTGTGGATAGAGGGATACAACGTTGTTATCTGTGTGGGTCTCCTACGAGGTGTTGGAAGAGGGTTACAACGTTGTTAGCTGTGTGGGCCTCCCACAAGGTGTGGATAGAGGGATACAACCTTGTTATCTGTGTGGGTCTCCTACAAGGTGTTGGTAGAGGGTTACAACGTTGTTTACTGTGTGGGCCTCCCACAAGGTGTGGGTAGAGGGTTACAACGTTGTTAGCTGTGTAGGTCTCCTACAAGGTGTGGGTAGAGGGTTATAACGTTGTTAGCTGTGTGGGTCTCCTACGAGGTGTTGGAAGAGGGTTATAACGTTGTTAGCTGTGTGGGTCTCCTACGAGGTGTGGGTAGAGAGTTATAACGTTGTTAGCTGTGTGGGCCTCCCATAAGGTGTGGGTAGAGGGTTACGGCGTTGTCAGCTGTGTAGGTCTCCTACAAGGTGTGGATAGAGGGTTATAACGTTGTCAGCTGTGTAGGTCTCCTACAAGGTGTGGGTAGATGGTTATAACGTTGTTAGCTGTGTGGGTCTCCTACGAGGTGTTGGAAGAGAGTTATAACGTTGTTAGCTGTGTAGGTCTCCTACAAGGTGTGGGTAGAGGGTTATAACGTTGTTAGCTGTGTGGGTCTCCTACGAGGTGTGGGTAGAGGGTTATAACGTTGTTAGCTGTGTAGGTCTCCTACAAGGTGTGGATAGAGGGTTACAACGTTGTCAACTGTGTGGGCCTCCAACAAGATGTGAGTAGAGGGTTACAACGTTGTTAGCTGTGTGGGTCTCCTACAAGGTGTGGGTAGAGGGTTATAACGTTGTTAGCTGTGTGGGTCTCCTACGAGGTGTTGGAAGAGGGTTATAACGTTGTTAGCTGTGTAGGTCTCCTACAAGGTGTGGATAGAGGGTTACAACGTTGTCAACTGTGTGGGCCTCCAACAAGATGTGGGTAGAGGCTTACAACGTTGTTAGCTGTGTGGGTCTCCTACAAGGTGTTGGTAGAGGGTTAAAACGTTGTTAGCTGTAGGGGCCTCCGACAAGATGTGGGTAGAGGGTTACAACCATGTCAGCTGTGTGGGCCTCCCACAAGCTGTGGGTAGAGGGTTACAACCTTGCTAACTGTGTGGGCCTCCTACAAGGTATTGGAAGAGGGTTATAACGTTGTCAACTGTGTGGGCCTCCCACAAGGTGTGGGTAGAGGGTTACAACGTAGTTTGCTATGTGGGTCCCCCACGAGGTATGGGCAGAGGTTACAACGTTGTCGTGTAATGAGATACAGCGTCTTCATATGCGTGGGCTACATTCATGATTGTTCAGATGCGTCAGGAATGTGGACTTAGTTACTCGTCGGCCTCAGCTCCAAGCACAGGGCTACACCACACAACTGGATATAGCCAACTCTCTGTCCGGTATTCTCAACAATGATTTCTTTACGTGAATGATATCTTTAACACACACTTCAGACCCAGATTGTTTGTTGGGCAATCCTTCTGCTGTTTGTCATGTATGCTACCCGGTTCTAGGACAAACTCTGACTGGCAAATCCCTCGCCAACACACGGAGCTAGCTCCGGGTCGTCAATTGTCCTATATTGAATCATTAAAGAGGGCCGCTTTATAAAGAATACAAATTCAGCACTTTGGAGGTTTTGTCCCTTAGGCTCTGCGAAGAGTCGTTATCACACAAGGCAGGATTTAGAATTTTATGGCTCTTAGGACAAAACAAATGCGTGGTCGTGTGTGTTACCTCCGTGACACGAAAGCGAGTTAGCGTAACCAACACGCCAACAGCTTTTGCTGAATTGATCAAGTTATGTTTGAACGTTTCATCGTCCATTGAGTCCTGCGTCTTCAGAAAAAAGATTACTATCACCAGTGCGTGAAACAGGTTTGAGGCACACATCCCGCAGTCACGTAACCTGGCGTTGTGCTAAATACATGTACATAAAACTACACCTGCTACAAAAAAGGTTTCCCGCTGTTTATCATCTGTCTAAAAATGGAACTCTTATTGAAGCTACAGGATTAAATATGTGCAAATACATACCCAATTAACATTGATCATAGCGTTTAAAAATGGTTATAACATTCTAAAGAAATGATACACGAAAACTAGTTTAAGTATCCTGTTCAAAATGAAATTAATACGCATGAATGAAAATCATTTATGTCAGTGTAGGAGTTGCTTTTATATCTACTCTCATGTACACACCTAGGTCGTGTGTGTTTGTAACACTGTATGTTGTCTGATGCACTGTCTATGTGGAAATGTATACTTATTAGTATGGCTAAGCCAATACATACTCTCAACTGCAAATGCGTGAACTATAATATGGCCACGTTTGATGTGTGATGAGAGCAAATACATACATTCACAAGAGACCATATAATAGTATATGGTCTCTGCATTCACCTGATAATGTATTATTCAAATAAGGGGCGGTTGGGTAGCCTAGTGGTTAAACCTTTCGTTCGTCACCCCGAAGACCCGGGTTCGATTCCCCACATGGGCACAATGCACGAAGCCTATAAATGGTGTCCCCCGCCGCGATATTGCGGACATATTGCTAAAAGCTACGTTAAACCACACTCACTCGCTCACATTAAGTATGATACGGTAAAACCAATCAATACATGTACTCAACTGGAAATACGTTAACATAATAAGGTCAAGCCAATAAGTGGTATTGCATTATGTTTATTGTGTGAATTTGACATGTAAACAAATACAAATACTATAATTGCATTACTAATACAAAAATACCCGTGAAGATTCCGGGGTAGCATAGGTCTTTAACAACCCATGCTTGCCGTAAAAGGTGACTATGCTTGTCGTAAGAGGAGACTAACGGGATCGGGTGGTCAGGCTCGCTGACTTGGTTGATGCATGTCATCGTATCCCAATGGCGTTGCTAGATGCTCATGACATCAGTAAATGGATTGTCTGGTCCAGACTCGATTATTTACAGATCGCCGTCAACAAACAATTAACAATTACAAAAAAATGTTGTAGTCAAATGTAAAGAATGTTTTACAAAATATGTTTGTATACACACGAATCCCGATATCCAGTACCATGTTACATGTGTTTCTGGTATTTCAGGGGCGGCAGTTGACGCAGTATGCGACTCCACGACCCCTTCAAAGGTACAGGCTTGTGTCTTTCAGTCGGATCTCTTCAAGGTCGGCTTACTACCAAGGAATCTGTCGACAGTTATTGAATTTTGCAGGTAAGTCTCATGAAGAAGCTTATGCAGTAACTAACACCCCTCGCCGTGTAATATGGCTATTTATCATTTAACTTAAGCATTTATCCATGACATAAGCTTATGACATAAAAACATGTATGTCATACCCCAATGACATAAGTATGCAAATTAGATATGCAAATTAGATAACCGGAAGAACGAGCGGTTTGATTTGAAACTATATATTATAAGTGAAGTTACACCAGAGATATAATCAGATTACACAGAATCGTTGTTGTTACCGTTATTAAAGTTTCAATTATTCTGCAAAAGTCTGTTCAAGTATTTTGTTTAAAATAATCCGAGGAACTTTTTTTCTCAGCGAATTGTTTATTTTGGTTTACATGGCTATGGAAAACATGTATCACTACGCACGATCTATACGTAAGATTTCGACAAGTTGCTGATGTTAATGTTTAATGCAATTATTCCTTAATTTGGAAGCAAAAATGTGAAAATGATAAATAGAATTCATCACTCGTGTTTTTTAATATGGGAAATATCAACCTCGTCCCGTTAATCGGTATTTGCCTCGCCAAAGGCTCGGCAAATACCGATTAACTAAGACTCGGTTGATATTTCCCATATTAAAAAACACTCGTGATGAATCCTCTATATCTTGCATCAGGCACTAGCATCCGATCCCCATGTAATATGGCCATAACTTGCATCGGACGCTAGCACCCCGTACCCATGTAATATGGCCATATCTTGCATCGGACACTAGCACCCCATCCCCATGTAATATGGCCATATCTTGTATCAGAGTCTAGCTCCCCGTGCCAATGTAATATGACCATATCTTGTATCAGACATTAGCACTCCATCCCCATGTAATTTGGACATATCTTGTATCAGACACTAGCACCCTCTCCCCATTTAATATGGTCATACGTTAAAAGATGGTGCTTCATGTTACCCTGCCTGGTGATCAGAATTGGTGGGATAAAACAAGGACTGGTCGACTCGGTGTAAGTATACTGTGTCTGAGTGGGGTATTAATGTTACTCTGCGGTGTGATATCTCAGTGGGCTCACTATAAAATCGGCATTATTCTTAAACTAGCATCAGCAGCAATTCCGACACACACGGACACAGACACACACAGACGCACACAAAGACAGACGCACACAGATACACACAAAAACACATACACACAGAGACGCGGACACAGAGACAGACGCACATAGATACACACAGACACATATACACACAGACGCACACTGACACTGACAAACACAGACGCAGACACAGGGAGAGACGCACAGACACAGTCACAGATACACACAGACACACATACATGCACACGCAGACACACAGAGACACAAACACACACTGACACACACATACACATACAGACACACACAGACAAAAGCACATTCACATACAGACACACATATAGATGCACATCAATACACATTGACACACAAAGACACACAGACACACATACATACACACGCAGACATAAAGACACACATACATACCCACGCAGAGCCACAGACACACCCATATACACAAAGACAGACACACCCATACACACACACATACATACACAAAGACACACTCAAAGACATACATACAAACACGTACATGGACATCGCAATTTAAGTACAGTATCTTTGAACGCAACAGTTAAACCCCATTTCACCTCAGCTTGTCGTATCTTGCTGTAGTAAATGGTGCGACATCATGTACACTTGGCCCAACAGCGGCTTCTTCTTCAGGGACACCGCATGTGTGGTAGATAACGTTAAGGAACCCGTGTTTCTGTTTCAGGGACCAGGATGCAATGTTAACTGCATATGTGATAGATATCATGTTTCTGTTTCAGGGACCAGGATGCAATGTTAATTTCATATGTGATAGATATCATGTTTCTGTTTCAGGGACCAGGATGCAATGTTAATTTCATATGTGATAGATATCATGTTTCTGTTTCAGGTAACAGGATGCAATGTTAATTTCATATGTGAAAGATATCACGTTTCTGTTTCAGGGACCAGGATGCAATGTTAATTTCATATGTGATAGATATCATGTTTCTGTTTCAGGGACCAGGATGCAATGTTAATTGCATATGTGATAGATATCATGTTTCTGTTTCAGGGACCAGGATGCAATGTTAATTTCATATGTGATAGATATCATGTTTCTGTTTCAGGGACCAGGATGCAATGTTAATTTCATATGTGACAGATATCATGTTTCTGTTTCAGGGACCAGGATGCAATGTTAATTGCATATGTGATAGATATCATGTTTCTGTTTCAGGGACCAGGATGCAATGTTAATTGCATATGTGATAGATATCATGTTTCTGTTTCAGGGACCAGGATGAAATGTTAATTTCATATGTGATAGATATCATGTTTCTGTTTCAGGGACCAGGATGCAATGTTAATTTCATATGTGATAGATATTACGTTTCTGTTTCAGGGACCAGGATGCAATGTTAATTTCATATGTGATAGATATCACGTTTCTGTTTCAGGGACCAGGATGCAATGTTAATTTCATATGTGATAGATATCATGTTTCTGTTTCAGGGACCAGGATGCAATGTTAATTGCATATGTGATAGATATCATGTTTCTGTTTCAGGGACCAGGATGCAATGTTAACTGCATATGTGATAGATATCATGTTTCTGTTTCAGGGACCAGGATGCAATGTTAATTTCATATGTGATAGATATCATGTTTCTGTTTCAGGGACCAGGATGCAATGTTAATTTCATATGTGATAGATATCATGTTTCTGTTTCAGGGACCAGGATGCAATGTTAATTGCATATGTGATAGATATCATGTTTCTGTTTCAGGGACCAGGATGCAATGTTAATTGCATATGTGATAGATATCATGTTTCTGTTTCAGGGACCAGGATGCAATGTTAATTGCATATGTGATAGATATCATGTTTCTGTTTCAGGGACCAGGATGCAATGTTAATTTCATATGTGATAGATATCACGTTTCTGTTTCAGGGACCAGGATGCAATGTTAATTTCATATGTGATAGATATCATGTTTCTGTTTCAGGGACCAGGATGCAATGTTAACTGCATATGTGATAGATATCATGTTTCTGTTTCAGGGACCAGGATGCAATGTTAATTTCATATGTGAAAGATATCATGTTTCTGTTTCAGGGACCAGGATGCAATGTTAATTTCATATGTGATAGATATCACGTTTCTGTTTCAGGGACCAGGATGCAATGTTAATTTCATATGTGATAGATATCATGTTTCTGTTTCAGGGACCAGGATGCAATGTTAATTGCATATGTGATAGATTTCACGTTTCTGTTTCAGGAAACAGGATGCAATGTTAATTGCATATGTGATAGATATCACGTTTCTGTTTCAGGAAACAGGATGCAATGTTAATTGCATATGTGATAGATATCACGTTTCTGTTTCAGGAAACAGGATGCAATGTTAATTGCATATGTGAAAGATATCACGTTTCTGTTTCAGGAAACAGGATGCAATGTTAATTGCATATGTGATAGATATCACGTTTCTGTTTCAGGGACCAGGATGCAATGTTAATTGCATATGTGAAAGATATCACGTTTCTGTTTCAGGAAACAGGATGCAATGTTAATTGCATATGTGATAGATATCACGTTTCTGTTGCAGGAAACAGGATGCAATGTTAATTGCATATGTGAAAGATATCACGTTTCTGTTTCAGGAAACAGGATGCAATGTTAATTGCATATGTGATAGATATCATGTTTCTGTTTCAGTACCGGCCTTCAAACTTTGTCTGGTTGTTTGGCGGACAAAGTCAACGAATGCGAGGATGACGATAAGCAGGAAATGCTGGTCAAACTGTTGATTGACAAGGAAAAGATAATGAATGGCCTCGGGACCATGTGCAACGGCTCAGCTGCATGTGAGTCCCCCTGGGTGGATCTCTTAGTACCCTTTAGAATGCTGCAAAATTAAGTCTACGTTAGACCCTGATTGTGTTCATGACTGCATCACTTGCGAAAAAACCCCATTTGTTCAGATTTCTCTAACCCGTCAAATAGGGATGGTACTAAAAGGCCTTAGACATTTATTTGAAACCAACACTTCAAGTCGTTTCTTCCTTTTGTTTTCTAAATATTCAAAACACATTATTTTCAAAGTAAATCTTTGATAAGTGTTATTTAATGTGCGGTAAATTGAATTTAAACTAAGTCAATGTCAAACAGAGGAGTTTTATCCGAATTTATGTCGGATCTACGTTCAAAATATCTTATTTAAATCGGCACTGTATTTTACCTTCTTATATTCCCCGATATCAGAATCTCTTTTCCACATCAGTCAAAATCCTACTTTTGTCATGACGCCCAGCCTGTACCGTCTTTAATGCTATTCCCGAAGTCGTTTGAACTTGGAACAAAATATTTTGAAACGATTACCAAATATAATCTTAAAATTGAACAACTGATAGGACAAGTATGTTCTCACTTAATGATACGCGTGTACGTGTACAGAGAAAGGTACGGTAGATGATACGTTAGTGAACATTGATTTGAGAAGTGAAACCTATCATGCTAATACATACAGGACATCATCACTTAGTCATCAATAGATGTTCCATACGGATTAACACCAGAATATGCCATGTCCGCAGTTAATGATTTGCTTGCCGCTGCGATGTAGCTGGACAAGAGCTGATTGTGACGTTTAAAGAAAAAAAACCATAAAAAGTGTTCTTCATTCAGTAAACAACATCACATTAAACAACCCCCACTTTTTTTTACAGTTGCTCAAAAACAGGATTGCCTTCCCCAACTCTCGACTGATCCATTCAAAAGCTGTGTGGGAAGTGCAGATGCCGCCCTCATTAACGCTGGTAACCCCAGCAGCCTCAACATGTCACTCGACACGATGTGCACGTAAGTGTTACTCTTTTCTTTCAGGGTGAGAGTGCTATTTAAGGTTATACTGAGTTCAAGCGCTCTGTGGCATTGATGACGTGATGCTTGTACCATGATCATTATGATCGAGATACCGCAAGCGGCATTGATGACGTCGCAACAGTACTGACGCCACAGCGTAGTTTTGTCGATGTAAATTCGACATTGTCAGTTTCAAGAATTCGATACAGAAGTATACACATATTTAACACTGCTAATTATGAGGTGAGGTGAGGTGAGGTGAAATTGGGTTTAATGTCGCGTCCAAGATTATAGCACTTATATAGCGACGTACATAGAGATTGTTACATTCATATACTTGTAACCTATTGATCAGTAGGAGGATGTGTAGCCTAGTCATCTAAAGTTGCAGAGTTGTGTCCCTTGGGCACGCCAGAAACCTTTGATCGTGGTCCGAATCCCAGTTAGTCCGATTATATTTCTAGGTTAGTCAGCACCATACCCGTGCTCCTGGGTTTTACCAAAGTGGTAAACGTCTGAGACCTGCATCAATTCGGGCTTTCCTCCCACATTAAGATAACACGTCGTGATATAACTCACTGGAATACTGTTAAACCCAACTCAAATTACTCGCTCGGGAAATAAATCCGTTCTGGCACTTGTGACGTAACATAACAAGGGTACATTATTCGCTCCTTCATTACCGGGTGGTTAAATTCCGTTGTTATAGGCCCGTCGAACGAGAGGACGGACAAAGAATTTGATGGTCGCAATGACCGTTATAAAAGTACCACGTTTACAGATGAAATGCTTCCAAATCACTTACTGGATGCCTGTCCTTCTAACTAGACTATGGAACCAATATGTATAAATATTGATTAGATCTTGAATTTACACTCATGTATTGTATCTCATCCAAACAGGTACTTCGAGGCCTACAACTCGTGCTTCTCCAAACTAGAGGGTGACTGCAATGACATCGCAAGCTTCTACGATAAAGGCATCACTGCTATAAAATACCCATACTGTTCCATGTCCCAGGTTGCGAAACGGCAAGCTATAGATGATTACCAGAATTATGTCTCCAGTAGTGCGGGGTTGGTGGGTAGCATCATGTCAATCACCGCTGCCTTTGTTGTCTCCAAGATCCTTTAAGTCTTACTCTTGTTAAAGTTCTATTGCAGTTTGCATATTAAATGGTTTTGTCAAAACAAACGTTGCAGTATTTCATAGACAAGCTTTTACAGAAATGGTCCAATAGCTATTCCTCTGAATTCAACCAGACATTTTCTTTCCGATCGTATCTGTTCGTGTTAGGTGGCTTTACCTATTTAGATTGAAGCCTGGACGTTTTTCATTCATGACGTTTCTCTGCATTTGGACCGACTCGGATACAATCTCAGTAATATACTATGCATGTTTGCAATCGAGGCCAACCCTTACACCTGTCTTGGAATGTATTGTAAACTGTATAGTATTACACTACACTGTATGGCGGCATACCTCGTGATGACGGGCTCATGAAGTTTACTGCTCTTCGTCAGGAGTAAACAGAAACCATTCCATATGTATCATCAGTAGCACTGAATTTGCCCTAAGCTTGCTTGTAGATGAGTTATTTTAGAAAAGGATTTGCATTAACTGAAACATTACAACTTTAGTCATTTTATACACGTGGACGTTCCTGTGATTTATATTTTGACCATCGATCATTATCAAATCTTATTCGCCGTTGAATTAGATACTAAGCCGTGCAATAAAAGATCACCCATCCTTTTGGAGACTGTTATTATTAAACAGTGTTATATAGTGTCCATGTTAAAGTCATATAAAAGATAGAACCAAATCTGCATCCAAATGACTCAATGGTTTTTCATCAGTTCAAATCATTCCTCCTTCATGGATCTGTGATCATTTTGTTCTTAAGTGTTCGTGTGCCTCCAATGTTTTTCTTTGTCCATTAAATGTTAATTAATCACTTGTGTTAATTATTGTTTACTATTATCTTTGCTTACATGTAAGTTTTTAATAAATATTCTGAAACTGTAGCTGTTTTGTTTTCTAGACTACCTGAGATTTGTTTGTTTGTTTGTTTGGGGTCGGGTAGCCTTGAGGTTAGAGCGTTCGTTCGTCACGCCGAAGACCCGGGTTCTATTCCCAACATGCGAGAAGCCTTAATGTGTCCCCCGCCGTGATGTTACTGGAATATTTCTAAAAGCGGCGTAAAACCACATATATGGTGGTAGTCAATTAATAATCGAGACGGGACCGGACAATTCACTTATTGAAATCGTGGACATCGATCTACGAAATTGGGATAAGATAGCATGCATCATCCAAGTTAGCAGACCTGATAACCGGATCCTGTTTGTCGGCTCTTGTGACAATCCTAGACTGCTGAAGACAAGTTAAAACCCTTATGTTCACCAGGACACAATGGACACACAGATATTTTAATCAATTTGACCCTGTTGAGATTCGAGTTATTTCCATTGCCAAATCATTCGCTACGTTTCTAGGATCGAGTGGTCATAATACTCGTTTCTGACTGGCTGTTCAATTCGCTATATTTTCCCATGTACCCGGCTGAGAGATAAGGTACATATCTCATACACCCCGTTATGTCTACATTATCTCGAAACTGAACATACATCAAGTGGCGTTTAGCGAACTTGACCGACCATATCCGATTGTAATGCAAGGGCGACAACTCTGAGGGTGTTTACGTCATCTGCTAGCTGTCGGTGAATACTGTTGAAAATAGAAACTGATGAAAACATTTTAGATAAATAAACATCATGCGGTTAAGATAAGATGTAGCCTATGTGCTTGCCTCTGTACCTCTCGCCTACTGGCTGTGCCACAGTCTGATAACATAGGCTCCCCCACAGGATACACAATATACCCATCGCGACCGGTCGGCTGTTGATTGTGTATTGTGGTGGCACGATCACGTGAATCGTTTACCATGGTAGCAACCTTTGGTTTCCCTGATCCAGATTCAAACACTCATATGTCGTCGTGATGTAAGTGGAATAGCGCTGACTGTGACCAGTGCCGTAGCCGGGGAGTGGGGTGTGGGGTGTGTGTGTGTGTGTGTGTGTGTGTGTGTGTGTGACTTAAAACAACATCCCCCCGCTAATGGGGGGCATCTGGTGATTTAATGTCGCAGACTCGCAACTACAGTTCTAGTTTAGTTTTGATGTTTAACGCCGCACTCGGCAATATTCCAGCTATATGATGGCGGTCTGTAAATAATCGAGTCTGGACCAGACAATCCAGTGATTGACATCGTGAGCATCAATCCATGCAATTGGGATACGATGACATGCATCAACCAAGTCAGCGAGCTTGATCATCCGATCCCGTTAGTCTCCTCTTACAACAAGAATGGGTTGCTGAAGACTTGTTCTACCCCGGATCTTCACGGGTCGTCGAAACTAAAGATGCAAGTATGCAAAAGTCATGATGAGGACCTTTATCAGGAATTTGGACCGGCCATTGTATAATGCTTCAAGACGCTTGTCACTTTCGCTGAAAACAATTTCTTTTTCACAACACATTTTCATAGGACCCTAAGCATTTGTTTTCTCTTGAAAAACCGGACGAATATTATTTTTTTCAATATTATTTGTAACCGATTTTTTCACTCTGAAAAATGCAAACCGGAAGGTTGTTGGTTCGCTCTCCTGGCCTGTCGGTTAGCATTAATATGATAAAACAAGGACTGCTACCAGTAATACAGCCCTTCTGACAATCTGGGTAATGCAGAAGGCTGCAGTGTAGGGGATTCTTCACATATTCCGTAAAGTTCTGGGTTTGACTAGGCAGCGCTTCCTGGGAGAAGTCCTATTTGCTGTCTGGGCTGCGTGTAGAGGGGGTAAGGGCCATGAGCTGATGATACGCCTAACCAGCCTGACTGTGCCAGGATCACCCAAACCCTCTTTGCTGCATTTTTTTATTTTAATCTGTAAACAAACAAACAGACAGACAGACAGACAGACAGACAGACAGACTCATCGACTGACGACTGACGAATGGGCGCATCATTAAAATGTTAGGCATTTTAATAAACTAAGCGGCAAAAGAAAGTATAGGTTGGCAATTTGTAATTTTTTCCTTTCCTAACTAGTGGAATGTGGGTATTGGGAATATGACTGCCCAGGAACAGTTACCACAAAAAAACACTTCACCCGAACGCGCCACCTTTGACGGCGCTCGTGCGGTGACAAAAAAATGGTGAAACAGGTTTCCCGCATATGGCATAAACTGCACGTGCATGTTAGCTGTAAAATGCGTTCGTCTCCAGGGTATAACCACACGTGATGAAAGCACACGACTGTCACGAGAGAGAGAGAGAGAGAGAGAGAGAGAGAGAGAGAGAGAGAGAGAGCCATCGGTATTGCCGAAATGGGGGCAACACGTGTCCAATTTGCCAGAAGGTTTGGTTGTACACCATTGACAGTAGCCAGACTGATTCAACGGTACAGACAGACAGGGAGGACACAGGATAGGTCTAGAACCGGACGACCCCGAGTGACAACACCACTGGGAGACGGTCAGATACGGCTCATTCACCTGCGAAACAGATTCGTAACGGCGACGGCGACGGCAGCAACAGGGTTGGGACATCCCGTTAGCCAACGTACAGTACTACGACGACTTCGTGTTGCTGGAATCCGAGCGTATCGTCCTTTCCGAGGAATGGTACTGACTGCTCAACGTCGACGCCTGGGACTGCGATGGGCGAGGCAGGTTCGACGCTGGCAAGTGAGAAATTGGCGTCGAGTGCTGTTTACTGATGAAAGTCGGTTTAACTTGTTTCGAAATGATGACAGAGAACGAATTTATCGACGCAGAGGGGAACGTTTGGCTCCGGCGTGTATTCGAGAGGTCCATCCATTCGGCGGGGGAAGTGTCATGGTGTGGGGCGGTATTTGTGGAGACCAGAAGACTGATTTGGTGATTATACAGGGAAACCTGAACGCTGTGCAGTACAGAGACCAAGTGTTGCAGCCAGTTGTGCTTCCGTTCTTACACAAGCAACAGCAGGGGACATTGTTTCAACACGACAATGCCAGGCCCCATACTGCAAAACTGACTCGGAACTTTCTAAACCAGCAGAACGTTGACGTTTTGCCCTGGCCTGCCCACTCACACGATATGATTCCTATTGAACATCTGTGGGACCATTTTGACAGACAGATAAGAGCACGCCATCAGCCTCCCATCAACAGACAAGAATTACAGCAGACCCTGAGAGATGAGTGGCAATGGATTCCAATCCACGTCATCAGAAGACTGACGTCATCGATGAGGCGGCGTATCACAGCATGCATTTAGGCAGCTGGAGGTCATAGACGCTATTGAGGGCAACTTTGTCGACAATGAACTTGTAGTGTGTCTGACAATTTTTTGGTGACATTTCAGACAACTTTTGAAAATGAACTTTCTTACCCCACCATTGTTTACCTTTAGCTTACATTACCTGTGATTGCACAATTTCATTCAAAGTCTGGTTGATCAATCATTTGTTACCCCTACCTAGATTATCTTATAATTCACAACAAAACCTCTTCTTGTTATTTTTTTTATCGATCATGGAACTCGACCTATACTTTCTTTTGCCTTCCAGTGAGAAAATGACCCCTCTTTGTGACTCCAACATGCTCTAACCGTAAATATGCCAAACATGCCATCCTCGAGACCTTTTTTCGTTTAGAATCGTGCATTTGTAAGCGTTAAACATGTCACATGAGTCTCAGACATCCGCGACACCCATATAAAACGAAGCAGGTGCCCGTGTGGCTGTATTTATACTGCGAAGATTACAGTTGATAGTTGTAGTCAACAAGTGTCAGACAGTTTGCAGGATGATGTTGGCTGCCTTGGTGCTGCTGTGTCTCGTCGGGTATTCCGATGCTCTGTCATGTGAAGGTTGTGAACATGTTGCTTGCCCAGCGACAATTCCACCCTGCAAACCATCGGAATACATGTACACGCCCTGTGGCTGTTGCCCACTATGCCCCCTGAAGATTGGACAACCATGCGGAAGCTTTACACAAAGGTAGTTATGTTTTGTACAATGTACAATGTGTGACACACTTAAACTGATAAATCATAACCCATGGAAAGTATGATTATTTCATCGAAAAGAAGATAAGCTGTACACCGACAAATTTCGTGCACAAATAGCAGGCCTACCCGGGGATGGGTTCAACACCTCTCTGAACAGTAGATATATTAAGGCGTGAAGCAAATCCTGAACTGACGCGCAACTTAGATATTACAGGTGAGGTGAAATGGGGTTTAACGTCGCGTCCAAGATTATTGCACTTATATAGCGAAGTGCATGTACGTGTGTGTGTTAGTGTGGCTGCTTGTACTAGTCCGGACTGATGCCGATTTTAGTGCTAGCTCACTGAGATGCCATGCCGCAGTGTAACATGAATACCCCACTCACACACAGTAAACTGACTCCGAGCCGACCGGTCCTTGTTTTAGCCCCTTAATGCCGAGCGCCAGACAGGGTAACAACAAGTACCATCTTTTAGGGTCTTTTGGTATGACCCCGGACCTTCCGCTCTCCGGTCGGACGCTCTACCACTAGACCACGGAGGCGGTCCTTAGATATTACAACTTCGGGAAACACATTGATGGTTAGGGTACTGACAAACACATATTTTCCATCGGTGCGACTATTGGATTCGAACCCGGGACCAGGATATCCTGACACGGCCAAGGGACACAATACTACGCCCAGAACTGTGTCTCCACACACACTTTACCAGATCTAGCTTCCCCAAAACCCTTCCCCAATTTGTCAGTCAGCATGTTCAGGTACATAAACAGACGGCCAAAATGATCTTTACCCTAGTTTTAACTCACTTTGGTTTAAAAAAACACAAAAGATAGATGCACGAAGTACAATGTATTGAAAAATCAAAATCTCAGTGACATCAACGGTTACAAATGACAGTCATACAGCATTCGATATTGGCATGATAGTTGCCCGAATTGAGGTTGGGTAGCAAAAACAGGCGTTCAA